GCAGGTCGTCCTTCAGGGGCCTGGGTTGAAGTAACCTTCTGATCATTGAGTCAACCTTCCCTATGAGAAGGTCATGAAGTGTGCTGCAGTGTTGGAAAACAGGCCTTTGGGAGTACCTGCGTAACAGCGGGTTTATCTATAAAAATACAACCGCAGGCTTCTCTCTGTGCCGTCCTCACCATACTCGTGATTCACTCGCCACGCATTCATCGTATCGCTCTTGCGATTTCAAGTTTCACGGCCATGCAAATCAGCCTTGATCGTATTGAATTCTACCAGCCCTCCTACCAGCCCTCAGCGGCTGCACCATCCTTCATAGATCTCACGACGCCGGACAGTCTGAGACGATCAGTTTGCAAGCTGCCGAGAAACGAAGCTCTCTCTATGCCCGATGAGCGCGCCGAACGACAAAGACTACGCAGCCACCAGCCGGCTGACGAGAACGCCATTGTAATATCGGATGACGACGGTTGTGATGACGACGACGGCGATGGAAACGCCCGAGACATTCCGGCACCTGTGCCCGAGAGGCAGCCGTCGACTGCCGATGAAGGTGGTATTCTTAGCTCACGATCGGTCTCGAACTTTCGGGCTGACTCGATATGCGGCCCTGTTGTTGACCCTCACCACATCGAGGCGTTCTCACAACATCCTGAGAAAGCAAGAGACAATGTCGTATTCGCAGGGGACGGAGACTCTTCGACATATTGCACTCTACAAGCACCATCGTCTCTAGTTCTGCCAGCCCTTCTTCCCGCCCCCGGTGCCTCTGCCTCCGAGGACGACCATGACATGGGACGGGTCCGAACTCCCTCGGAGCTGGTCTCAAGTCCTGCTTATGACGTCCTTCAACCCTCGCTGCCACATACTGGAGGCTCCCAAGATTCTTCTAGCTATGTGTCTCAAGCCAGCTCCGATGGGTCAGATGCGGAAGGTCCGGAGCGGACACTATCGCCTTCACCCTTGCGTGCAGAGCCTTTGGACCAGATTATCGTTACAACGACAATCGACCCAACTGAAGGCCTTGCAGGCTCAGCAGCGTCTCTGCTTGCCTCTTCCCTTTCGTCCCAGCTGTCCCCGTCGATCTGCGAGGGATTACAGTTGGTCCAACGCGACCTACAAGACACAAGGCGAGCTCAAAAATATGCCAGCTGTCCCAACACGACCAGCAACGCTTTCTTTGCCTCAAAAAACACAGTGATGGCCACCTGCACATCGCCATGTGACACAGCATTCGTGTCTGCACCCTTCACCACACCGCGGCAGCGAGGGCGGACCCGGGGGCCCCCTTTACCGTCTAGCGTTAAGCGAACGCGGCGTACACTGCCAGCCCATGGATTCTCCCAGCGACGAAGTGCACGTCTCCGCTCTACATCGAGCAATGCACTAGACGCCTATATTCAGCATGAAGCGAACCAGAATTCCGAATCCAACATTGGTCCTTCCTCGTTAGACGGAAGCGGCAGCGACGAAAGCTATACGGCAAGGTCGATAAACAGCACCGAAGAAAGGAGCGACAGCGGGCTGGACGAAATTGACATGCCGTCCCCGAAACGTCGCAAGGCATCTCCTCCACAGACAGCCGCCGCCCAACGTCGAAGCTTGCGACACTCTTCAAGGCTGTCGGCGGCCCCTGGTACAGCCGTGGTGCGGAAGATGTCCGAACTTCTGGTATTGCTACCCCGCCATTATCCACGCGTCAATCGTCTGACCGAAACTCTGTCGATAAAGCGTGTGTTGCCAGGTTTGAGGAGTGGCCATTAGAGGGCGTCTCTCTGAAGCGCGTAACAGTGAATGGTGTGGCGACATTTCAGCTGCAGTTTTCATGGGACCCGCAAGTAGACCGGCGCCGGAATAATGGTATGGCGGAGACACGACCCTTTTCATGTCCTCGTGGGAAACGGCACGGAAAGAAACATGCAAACAGTTCGGGCAGACCATTCACAAAGGATGAAGTCAACTATCTGATTAGGCTCAAGGAGGTTGAACAGTTATCTTGGGCCAAGATCCATGAACTGTTCACTCGGTCTCACCCAGGCCGGACGCAGGGGTCTCTGGAAGTGTACTATTGTACAAAACTCAAGGGACGAATTGATAGATAGATAGATTAGCATCGATGTGGTTGATCCTGCGATTAGCCGCTTACATGAGGACTACTGGAGGAAGCTTTGGCAGGAACACTGTGACCAATCAAAACGGCAAGCCAGAAATGAACTTAATGGCCACAGTACCTACTGTGCTCCGGCCCTCGCATAATCCCATTCCGCTCCATGTCATAACCAAGGCACTAATCTAGCGAGGATGATACCACTTGGACTGGGATAGGCAAACTCCAAGGTAGGGTAACGTGGCAACGACAAGTGATCCAGGAAAATTAGCCATGCGAAGCGGACGTCAGGATCGACAGAATGCACAAGTACATCAAAGCGGACATTCCAGTGCTTATAGGTACATTTCTTCTCGAGGACAGTGATCAAATTAACTGACCTTGTATCTGAGCGACAAGTTCTCAAGGCCCTACATCTGCCATGATCTCATATGTTAGCATGGTCCTTCTAGCAGTTCGTTGTGCTTACTGAGGATATGTTGAGTTCAGCCAAGAGGGGAATGTTCCAGGCATCGGCTTGGGCACTTGTCACAGCGCAAGCCACGACCAAGCCGGGAGTCGATATGATCTGTATTGAGAGATGGCCTAGCATCTAGCAAACTTTGGGTGTATTACCTAATGTGTTACTGCCCGGTCTCCCTCCGGAGCTTCTTTTCTCCTATGTGAACAACGACCATTCGCAGGCCATCTCGACGCGGAACAAGCCGGCACCAGGGGAGAGCATGATAGTCCCGGTGGTCGGGCATCTGCTCACCAGAATAAGGCCCAAGGGAAAGTACAAGAGCAGAGAACTCAAAGCGCACGCTAAGGGTTCTGGGCAAGAAGATCGTTGAAATAGGTGCCAGGAGCCTCCCTCTCCATGTTGTAAGCTGTACGAAATTTCACTGGACTGAGGAAACCTTACCTGTCCTATCATGCTGCAGAGCACTACCGACCCGTCTGCAAACATCAGACAGCCATCGCTATCAATCAGGGCCGGGGTGCCAAACGCAAATGCCCATGCTGAGAGAAACGATGATCTGAGCGACGACAAGGAACAAAAAGCTGCGGCGATACCTCACATTCAGTCTGTGGGTAATATGAGCGGTCGGGGACGTTTCCTATGAAGTGAACGCGGTGAAAACGCAAGATAGTGTTTCCTGGGTGTGGAGGGTCGGGCACATTGCTCACGTCGCGTCTTGTAAATTGGCCCGCGGCTCGATATCCCTGGGCAATCGCGGCCGGCAGATTGGCTTATGAACAGCATAGGAGGCTGTTTCAGGCGAAGGTTGGGTATTTGGGTCCGCTTTGGAAAGCGCAGCCTGCCGGCTCCCTGACCTAAATCAGGGTTTTTGTCAGGTAAGTCATATGTG